GCGGAGGGAGGTCGCGCGGACCGGGCGAGGGTCTGGGCGCGAGGCCGCTCTGAGTCCGGGTCACCTTGAGCTTCTCTTTCTTCCCTGACTCAGTTTCCCTCCCATGTCCTAGCCCTCCCCCTCCCTGTGAGCGCCCCGAGTTGCCCCTCAGTGTCTTCTGGGCAGGATGCCTTTTCTGCCAGGGTGGCCACGGCTCTCTGGAGCCGTTGAGAGCCCTGCTTGAAGAGCTCTGAGACCCGTGTGCCCAAATGCAGGAAGAGATGGGGGAAGTGCCCTAACCTGAATTTAGCCCGAGCCTGACCCTGACTGGGTGGAGGACCAGCAGTTTGCAGGACCCCGACTGGAGAACGACTGGATCTTTTTGTAGATCTCGGTCTTCCCTAAAATGAATTCGGGTGATGAATACTGGTTGCCGTTTTCAATTAATGTGGGGATCTGTTGGATGGAAATTGAGTGATCCGGTTTCACTTTTCGTGTGGGACCTGCCTGAAGAATAAGATCCGCGTCCATCGCCAGTAAGTTATGGGTGTGAGCTGCTCGCGTTCCTTGGCCGGAATCTCTGGATTGTTTTCCATTTCTTGCCCAATTTGAGAATTGGCGTATTTTGTTCATTTGAAGTCCTGAGGTCTTACGCTTTACTATGCCACACTATTTTGGAAACATTCATCATGCACCTGGCCAGCCAATTTTAGTGTGATGTTTGAAGACGTTTTAGATAGCTATATAACAGCATCACAAAATTAGGGATGATTGTAGCCTTTCTACTTGACTTGCTTTGATAAATTTGGCTGAAACTCATTTTTATTGTAGGAAATAAATATGGCTTTGTACAGCAGCGTGGCACCTTCACAGAGCACGTTTAACTTGAGGGGAATAAATTGAACTATGGAGAAAATTCTGTTAGACCTTTTCTGCAGTTACTTGTGATCATTTTCATATCAGATGTGTATTATCTTTTAATCAGAAATTAGATTTATGTGGCTCACAGGAAATGGGTTTTTAACAAATATGTATAAATGTATATTAAGTTTAGTTATTTCAGAAATAAATTTATTTCTCAGCAAGGGTGCTTCCTAATGTTTTTTCCTTGCTGTTATCATATATGTGGAAACTCAAATAGCTATTAACTTGCAGGCTGCAAGTTGATTTTTGGAAGTTTGCTAGCTGTTTTCTTCAGCGTAAAAATGGAAAAAGAAAAAGTTGGTAATGACGTAGAAATTTGTATCTCTTCTGTTTTCCTAAAGCAAAAAACATTTGCCATGATATAATTTTGATTAACATTTCTGATACTTTGCTGTAGGTAAATAAGCAAAAGAGAGTGTCTTTAATTTAAACTAAAGAAACCGAGCCACATACTAGATTTTACAGATGATACACATTTGGGCCTAGAACTTACTAAAGATTGTTTTTAATTTCTCCACCATGCCACAAGCAGTATGCCTACAGTCACGCAGTGTCACATTGAGGATTCTGACAGTTATTTCAGAGACTGTTCCTCTTTATAAGCAACATTTAAGAACCATGAGGGTTAGAGGGATAAGAGATCTCATAAAATGAAGGCATCCTCAAACAAAAGGCCATGTCAGTGAGGTTCTTACTTCAGCTTTCCTCGACAGCTGTTGCCTCTGGTGTCCCCTGTGGTATCTAGGAGGTGGGGTCTGGGTGGGAAAGCTCTTCTCTCATGTATGGCTCTCCTCCCTTTCTCATCCACACTGGTGCTGTACTGTGCTCCCAGGAACAAGGGGATCTCTGGGTGAGTCACAGTGCATAGAGTTTTCATTTTCACCCTTCTCAAATCCTAGGCTTTTCGTATCGTCTTTGCTCTTGGTGCCACATCTTTTTTTCTGGTGGCTTTCATTCATCCCTCGGTGAACAAAGCCCACATTTGTTTATTTCATTTTGAGTGCCTCCCGTGTTCCAAGCATTGTGCTGGGCCTGTGACTGTGACAGACGAAACTCCCTGCTCTGGAGGAGCTCATGTGCTGTCCCCAAAGCCAGCCCAAGTGTGGATCTGTTGGGCTAGTTGCTCCATTTGTTCTGGTTGCAACTTCAGGCCTGCACCCTTGGTTTCAGGTTGAAACTGTCCCTCTCTCAGCCACCCATGTCCCAAGGACTCTGCCCCTAGAATATCCTTGGCCTTGCCTGGGGTCTCACAATAAAGCCCTTCCCTCAGTCTGGGTCTGCAGTGTGAATTCTTACCCCTTCTAACGCCAGAGAGCCAGGGCAGAGAGCAGGGTACTGCAGAACTTTTTAAAACAGGCAGATGTGGGCTCCAAGCATTACTGTTTATTAGTTGGGCAAGTTCCTTGGCCTCTCTGAGCTTCAGTTTTCTTATTTTTAAAGTGGGGTTGATAGTGTTTCATCCCTTAAGCAGTGTATTTGTGGGCTGTCTGTTGTTGGCTGTGGTGAGCAGAGAGGACGAGGCAGCCACCCTCAGGAGCTGCAGCCTCCTGGGTGTTGTGTGGAAGACGGGATAATGTGGTGTATGCCGAGCCCTGACAGTGCTGCTGTCCAGGGTGATTTTGCCGGGAGTCATTGCTCAATAAATGCTGGTGTCTTCTTGGGGCCTTCTCCCACTCCCAGGCCCCTGCCCACCCTGTGCATGCTGTCAGCGTGGATCAGCGCGCAGTGGCATCCCATCTCTCACCTGGAATCACCACTTCTGGGGAGCGCACGTCTAGGTCCCTCAGGACACATTGTAAACATAGCCGGAACATAATATTGCTCCAACATAGTTCCTGTGCTGTCTCCAGTTTAGAAGCTAAGAGACTTTGGGGGAGAACTTTTTGGATTTTTTTCCCCTAGCCACAGAGGATACCTTTCCAAGACTTATTTTTGAGACCATGTAAAAAGACGAGGGTTATTCTATAATGTAGAAGATGGCTTTCAGTTTCTTTTCCTTGTGATGACCCATTTTACTGGAACAGTTGATTCTGGTATAGTCCTTGGCACTTTACGAAGTGACTTTCACATTGCTTTCCCTGTCTCCCAGTGACCTGGTGTGGCTGGTACCGTTACTCCTATTCTAGAGTGTGCGAGACTGAGGGCGGAGGAGTTATTAGGTAATGCGCCTAGCTGTGGTTAAACTGCTAGCAAGTAGCAAACTCAGGAATTGCTCACAGATCCCTGACTCTAAAGGTTTTCTTTTACTAGCCTGTGTTCTCATGCGGTGTGGGTTTCTGATGCTGCAGTCCACAGACCTCCAGGGGAGGGTGTCTAAGAGAGCTTTTGAATGATCTGACATTGGATGTAAGAGCTAGGGTCCTTCTTGCTCCCCTGCAGGAAATGTCAATAACTATTGCTCCATTCTGAAAGGGGCGTGTGTCACCACAACGCCCGCATCCCCAAGCCAGGAGCCACTGTTGGCAGGTTTCATTGTCAGAGGTCTGCCCTGGGTTTTAGTCTTAATCTCTACCGGTGTTGATTTTTTTAAGTTCTTATTTATGAATGGGATGTTTATTCTTTTTTGTTTGTTTCCAAAGAAACTGGCAGTGCCTAAAGTTAAAACTCTTGTAACAGCAACTTTTCTATTTCTTATAATTGATTTTGCTTTTGACCATTGTTCTTCAGAGACATTGTGTGTTGTATGAAGCAAGATGTTGACACAAAGAAAATAATGCTTTTTGTAAAAAGAAGATACTGATTGGTCACTGCAATATGGATTGGATTATGTCTCCCCCAACAGTATGTTTTATAACTAGTGTCAAGGAATTGGGGTGAGCCGTTAACATTCAGAAGCACAAGTTTGGTTTAGTGTTTCCCACGGATTCATGTCCCCTTGTGTTTCCATTCAGATGGGTGGGACTTGGATGTGGACTTTTCTATAGCCCAGGGGAAGTCTGGTTAGGGTTCTGTTGAAAAATCATATCAAAGAAGTCTGCAACTGAAGACCTTTTTCTGGAATGATGTGGATGCCATGAGGGTCACAGTGTGCTGAGGAAGCTGGGGATTTAGGAAGCTTGCATCCTATGGCCGTGAGATTTACTAGTGACCCCAACTTCCTTATTTTGTAGATGGGAACCTATTAAGTTCCTACATTTCCTCATTCCCAAACCTAGATTTGAGTTTTCGTTCAAGACTTATCACTACTAGCTTCCTAAGGCCATTCTAACAAAGGACCACAAACAACAAACAAATAAACTGGAACAACGTTTATTGTCTTACAAAGTTATGGAGGCTGGAATCTCTGAGTTAAGGTGTCAAAGGACCGTGTTCCTTCTGAAACCTGACAGGGAGGATCTTTCTTTGCCTGTTCCAGCTTCTAGGAGCCCCAGGTGTTCACGGCTTGCTGTATAAACTCCAGTTCTGCCTCCGTCTTTACCTGGCCTGCTCTCTGTGTCTCCTCACCGTAGCCTTCACTCTGTGTACCTGTCTCTCTGCCCCAATTTCCCCTTTTTTTTTATAACACCAGGCATTGGGTCAGGGCCTGCCCTAATGATCTCATTTTAACTTGATTACCTCTGTAAAGACCCTGTTTCCAGACAAGTTAACATTCCGAGGTCCTGGGAGGGTAGGACTTTGCCGTATCTTTTTTGGGGCATACAGGTCAGCCTGTTACATCCATCCAGAAGCTGAGCTTCTGTCTCAGCTTTCCTCCTATGCTTCATAAAGTATGACTTTACACTTCTGTGTAGTGTAGGCGCCCAGGAAACCAAGTAGAGCCTTTGTGGGAAAGAGTGTAATG